ATTTACATTTTTAAAGATCGAAGTTGACTGAAGAAACCGGAAGATGGTTGGCTGATTTTGTTTAGCGGCATATCAACAACTCTATGGGTTATTTAATGCTGATATCTAGATATTTTGAACGCAATTGTACGGTTTCAATTACCGATAAAATGAATTGCTAGTAATTTTACTATAAAAACGTATTTTTATACTTTCCTAGTGTTTTCATTTTCGTTTGTGGGTTCACTATTTATCCATAGCTGCGACCCTTACAACGCCGGGTCAGGGAAAACAATAATTAAGAGGTGGTTCCACGCTCCTCAAAACCTCCAATCTCTCGATCAGAGACCTTACTGATGGATGTAGTTTATCGTCATACTTAGGACTAAAATCAGAAAGACGAATTTGTATAGCGGAATGAGCCACGGTTTGATATTCTCAGAATAAGCCGTTTCTTTGCGCCTTCTCGGGCTAATGTTCAATGTTGGAATTTTTGGCTAGCACACTAGTACTTACAGGGTACCCAAAAATTTTATCATCCGGGGCTTTTTTCAATTCAAAAGTATCATTTGAATTTAAAAACTCCCCGGATGATAAAAATATTATCGGCAGCCTTTGGGTTTATACTGTAAAGCAAACTGAGGATGGATCGCCAGTGTATAAGGCCCGTATATGTCTTCAATATCAGAGACTTCGGCAAACATGGTCAACACTGACATGAAGTGAAAAGACTATATTGAATCCATTGCTCGGTTAACTGTTAAGAAAGTCGTTACACTGTGTTGTGCGAGGCAATTTTCTATCCAGAATCGATATTAGATACCTATACGTCTACAGCTCGTCTATGTTGCCGGATGTAGTTTATCGTCATAGCCAGGACTGAATAAGCGAGAAGAGAGTTCCACAAGCAAGAAGTGCGATAGAATAAATTGTTAGCATAGAACTTACGGTTACATCTAGCCGTTTCGACTGTAATAAATTATTACAATGACAATCGTAAATATTAATGGAGGCTATTATTTAAATAAGAGGGGGGTGTATTGTATAGCTGGCCACTCGTATTCAATGATACCTGTCTACTAGGGCGGATAGATACCTGTCTACTAGACCCTTGCTCAGGTGGATTTGTGTTTATTCAACATCCGTAAAGCCCACCTGTGGTTTATACTGCAACTATGCTGAGTGGATCTTAGTTACATTTTCTGGGAAAGACTGTGTTATCTAGCGTGATCAACAATTTAAACAAGGCCAGCACGCTCGGCCACGATGACTTGTAACTTCGTGTTAGCACAGCTATCGACGGCCCTCAAGTGTTCCGCCTACCCAATTTCACTCAAAAGGAATGGCTCAATCCGTGGTATGTTTTTCAGGAACTTTCCAAAGGTGCCGCGCGATCAGGCGACTTCACGCCTTTAGATTTCGTCCTTCGGGATCATTTCAAAAGTAAGGTCTCATTGAATAAAGCTTGCTTAAAGCTTACCCTTGCGTACTGTTGCCATTACGCGTAGGTCTACCAGCTTACGATCACCACGAAAAATTTACCTGTGTATAGTACAGAAAATTACCGAAAATGCATGATTAAAAAAATACCTGTGTATAGTTCAACCCCCTAATTTTTTCGTAAGAACTGATCATAAAAACTCGAAAAATACTCCAGTATATACGGTAAATAGAATGGATAGGGAATAACTATCAGGGAATAACTGTTAAGGGAATAACTGTTATGGAATAACTATTAATGGAATAACAGTTAAGCCTTTAGCCTCGAATACATCATTTCATGTCGGATGGAAAACTGTAAAGGAACTTGCCAAAATATTGTGTAATCTATTTACCACTTTCGGCCATTATTGGTCATTTTAAAAGCAATACGAGATAAGTAAAATGGCAATTAGTGGAATGTTTATGCTGTTAAAGGCCCGGACTCGAAAATGAACGTGCATGTGCTGTCACAATGAAATGGATTAGAGCGACACGTGACTAAAACGACTGAACATCAGGAATCTCCTTCCCCACAAATCGACTATGGTGTGATTCGAACCCGGGTCTCATTGTCATAATGCGAACGTTCTAACCACTCGGCCGCGAGGGTTAGAACTTAAGAAGGTACAAATAAAAAGATTAACGACTCACAGGGTTTTTCATTTCTCTGAAGCAATCGCTAAACACGTGAGTATTATTAGGCTGGTGCAAAAATAATGACGTAACAATGTCGTTTTTTGACGTTAAAAAATACGTCAAAAAACCGCATTTTTACGTCATTATTTTTGCACCAACCTAATATCACGTCCTCTGTCCTTTATTTATTTCCCTAAAGCCTAACAGCATCTTTTGATTTGTAGGCAGGGGACAGGAAAACTATTGTAGGTCTAAATTCCCAATCAAATAGGAACACCGCATTGTTTAACTAATGCAATGTTAGGGTGTAACGCAAGTGCTAACGAAGGAAGATGCCGAATAGTTATTCCTTTATTTCTTCTTTATCTGTGCCTAACAGCCCTAAGAGAAATGATTGAGCCAATAATTGAATTTGGCTTAGTTTGACACAAGGCAACAAGTATTGGCATCCAATGAATATTGAACACATGTCTGTTTGGCGATCACGAATAATTCGTTAACCATTACCAAACAGTGAGGTAACACCCCCCACCATATCTCTAAGAAGAAAATGATCGAAGAAAATGAGAAGTAAAAATTCATGTAAACTTCTCACGTGTGTCAGACATCCAAAACAGCAATGCCAGAATTGAGCAAGAAATGATACTGCGATTGAGTGAAACAACAACCACGTACACGTATTACATATAAAAAGACAGGAATGCGTTTGGAATTGGTTATGCACTTATCGATACTTTATTATTCCCAACAGATTTTTTTCTTCAGAGTCTCAATACGCTTTATTCTAAAACTGCAATCTGAAGATATTTAAATTATTTTCATTTCTTTATTATTTTCTTGACTATCCATCGACTTTTATTTAGGTAACGACTGTATCTCTTTCTATAAAAGGCAGGATATGTGTGTGTGTGTGTGTGTGTGTGTGTGTGTGTGTGTGTGTGTGTGTGTAACGAATGCACGGCCGCAATTTTCGACGGATTTGCACCAAAATTTACATGCACATGCTCCAAATTAGTGGGAAGGCCGAGGCTGACTTTGCATTTCTCAACTCCCATTGATAGTGAAATTAATCGATTTTTTCATGCTTCTACGGCAGTTTTCATCTAGTTTGCGGCCATTTTCTACTGGCTAGAGTGAGAGCCTATAGCTAGCTGCCACGAATAGGCAGGAAGATTCTATTGGCCAGCGTGAGAGTCAACAGCTGACTGACACGAATGTTAACTAGCATGTTAGCATGCAAAAAAATCGATAGCTGCATTCGTCACAAGTGGGAAAAATTTAAATCTGCATGGCACTTTACTCCAATTGTCTCATTCACTTGCTTAAACTTAATGTTGATTCTGATTCCGCAGAACTGGGTTGGGTGTGAAAAAGTATTTGTTGTTAACATTCTTTTTTCATTCAGTTTTTCCAGTTACGAGTCCTTTTTTTTTAAAGCTGATCGTTTTGTGTTCATTTTATTTAATTCTTTTTTCGTAACAGATTTAATGTTTAGTATAGAGCTTAGAAAAAATTCGCAGTGTGAGATAGGCAAGAAGTAAGGCATGTAGCAACATCAGCATGGCAAAGGGCACTCCTTTAAAGGCAAGGAAAGTCAAGTGATAGCGATTGCTGTATGAGTCGTACGATTTTTTAATCAAGAACGGGCAACGCCGGTCCATGCTGCTAGTCTTCTTGTAAAATCTATTTCACCTGTACTTTTTACATGTTTTAAAATATGAGAAATAACTACAAATGTTAATGGTAATGATAATAATAGCCGTTTCCATATAGGGAAAGAATTTTCAGGAGAAAATAGGTTTCTCATATTCTGTATTTATTATGGCTCTTTACAGTACAGATGGGGGTTTCCTTTCTAACCTTTCGTTTGAAGTAACGTCGACATCAAATTGTAGTATCTATTGTCTTCATCACTAATGTTAATATTAATATTAGCAGTTTCCTTATAAGGAAGCATTCGGCATTTTTTGACGGAACAGCTAGTGACACTGTCAGTTGAAATTTATAAAATCTTTCTGTTAAAACAATTTTTCATGGAAATAGGTTTTTCAAGTCCAGTAATTATTATAAGTACAGATGGAGGTTTCCTTCCTAACCTTTTGTTTGAAGTAGTGTGGAATGTCAACATCTTCATTATGCCATTATTTTTCCTCGAGTCCCACGTTCTATAAGAATTTTTCAGGAAAGCAGATTTCTCAAGTCCAGTAACTGTTATCACTCTTTCCAGTACTGATGGGGGTTTCCTTCCTAACCTTTTGTTTGAAGTAGTGTGGAATGTCAACATCTTCATTATGTCATTATTTTTCCTCGAGTCCCACGTTCTATAAGAATTTTTCAGGAAAGCAGATTTCTCAAGTCCAGTAACTGTTATCACTCTTTCCAGTACTGATGGGGGTTTCCTTCCTAACCTTTTGTTTGAAGTAGTGTGGAATGTCAACATCTCGATGATGTCATTATTTTCTCTTCGATTTACATTTGATATCCATTTTAGTTGTTGCCGATGCTGAAAGTCATCAAGTAATGCAGTTTCTGTTATTTGGTACAGTTCTTTGTCTGTGAATATGTAGCGCCAGTGCACGTGGTTCGAAGAAGGATGGTCCTTGCTAAGACCTAGCAGCTTCATTCGCTCGAATGCATTTTTAATCGTTGGTCTAAAAAAGGATAGAGCTGACAGTTTAGATGTTTCCTAACGAGTTTGGCATAGAGACAGAGAAATATGATATCTAAACACTAATCAAACTAATGGTGAGTAATTGAATGAAAAAATGTAATAAAATCTATGTAATGTGTTTCATATTTCAAAAGGATTTCATCAGGCTAAAGAACATTATTTTAAACTGATGGAGACCTATTGAAGGTCGAAGCACGTTGAATAGAATATTTTACATTTTATCATAAAAAAG